AGAGAGAGAGAGAGAGAGAGAGAGAGAGAGAGAGAGAGAGAGAGAGAACGAAACCGACTGATGAATTTCCGATATTGTTTGTGTTCAATTGAATTTTCTGCGGTATTTGTCGTCATTTTTGGTTGGATCACACCGCAATTGAGCGTTAAAATTGAGTGTAATTTTCAAAGTGGATATGTACGGTTTTTCATTGAACAATTTTCAAGTTAATAAAATTCGCTGTGTCATTCTATATTCAAAATGGCCCGTTTTAACAACCGACCGTCGAGCGACCCATTTGTTCTTCATTCTTTTGAGCCATGCATGTGTGTGTGTGTGTGTGTGTGTATGCCAGCCATCATTTGTCAGGGGAATTTATTTATTCATGTAAATTTTTCAGTCCACCAACAAAATTGGTTTACAATTTGAACAGTGTAGTTATCCATCATAAAATTTAGAATGCTTTACCACGGTTCACAATTCATTCGGCTTTAGTAAATCGGTAGTTGCGTTTAGCCGCTGCTCACTATATTTGATTTGGTCCCGATCCCGATAACATATCATCACAATTTTATAGTGACATAGGTGCGTGCGAGCGCAAGCACACGCATGGACACACAACTTTGAACGGTGTCGAGCAACCAAAAAACGGAAATCCAAACATACCGAATTTCCCATCAATCTGTGTATTCTACGTCGTATTATTGCTTTTGGATTCATTGATAAAATAGAAAACATTTCGTCGATTTTTTTTTGTTGAATTCGACAACAAAACGATGTTTCAATCAAATGAACAAGAAGAACACAGAACGAACGAGTCTTTTGTATTTGTTTGCTTTTTGTTTTTTTAGGTCAAAATAAATGAAGTAAATTTTGTTTTTGTTTCAATTAAACGAGTAAATACTTCAACAACATACAATTACAACAACATTTAAGCACTAAACATAGTTCCCATCAATAATGGAAAATTTTCTTATATATATATAAAGATTACTAATGAAATAGATAATAAGACAAACAATGAGACATTTGTTTTTATATAGTAAAGCTTGTTACACATGTTACGAAAAGTGTTTAAAAGTTTAAGAAAAATGGTAATTTAAAGAAGAAGAAGAAGAAGAAAGAAAGAAAAACCCAAACTAAACACAAAAATGATTAAAATAGTTAAAGACAAAAGATAAATAATTTTTGAATGGATTTAGAAAAGAAAACCAAATCAAAACAAACCAAACCAAAAATAAAACAGCAAAGAATCAGAATAGAAGAAAGGAAACCAACGAATAGAAATTAAGAGAAAATTGTTTTGTATGTTTCATTTGAATATCCATTCCAACGTACAACAACTTATTGGACATTATTTGGTGCACTGAATAAACAAGAGGCTTTTTTTTGTTCGTTCTGATTGATAGCCAGAAATAAGGAGAGAGAAAAACAATGTGATGTACGTACCAACACCTGGATATGGTTGCATTCCTGGATAGGTAGCATGTTGTAAAGTCGCATCACCATTTGGAAGTCCTTGCGCCGGAATCGATAAATGGAGTGCATCTGCGTCATTGTGATCATCGTGAGATTTTCATTCGGATTATTAATCGTTATGATTAGTGTCGAAGTAAAATAAAAAAACCAAATTCGAATTAAAACCAGGTTAAATAATGAATTTCGTACGAATTTTTGCGTTTCAAACGAAAAAAAAAAAAAGAACAGACGCATTGAAAACATTTAGCATGGTTAATTGACTATGCATCCGCATGCAAATCTTGTGCGTTGCACTTAGTTCTGATTATGTCTAGTGGGAATCAGTTAAACCCATTGGATGCACAGTTTTAACCGTTCAGCGCACACAAAACTCGTCTTAATCGAATTAATTGAACACTAAACATGTTTTTTTTTCTGTCCCATTCAATTATCATGCGAAAAAAAAGAATGTGCTTGTACTTACGGCCTGGATAAGTTTGTGGTATTCCATTTGTATAGACAGTAGCTTCAGTTCCGCCCGGTTGACCGTTTGGTGTTTGAGCAGCCATATTGAACGTTGGCATCGTTGGTGATGGCAAAGAGGGTATGGCACCGTTGACTGGTTGACCTGATCCTGCTGAAACAAATAGCGCACAATGCATTTCATTGCCGGTATTCCGATTGCGAGATTTTACATTTATTATGCAATAGTTTTGAACGGAAAATAAAATACTCACCATTTAAAGCATGAGGTATTTGAGTTGCTAAAGCAGCCATTGGATTAATGTATGTGCCTTGAGCGGTAGCAGCTGCCATTAATGCAGCTTGTTGTTGCTAAAAAAAACGAAAAGAAATAGCAAAAGAGGAGATTTTATTGCAAATATTCGAAATTTTCAATGTCAACGCATGAAATTGTCTCATATTTCAATGATTTACGTACCTGTGCGTATGCCCCATATGCCCCAAACTGATTGAATACAAAGGGATTTAGTAAATTCATGTGACCAGCCATTTGTTGCATACGACGCAATTGCCGTTCCTTTTCTGTGTCAGCGAATTTAACAACTAAACTTGATGATGCACCCTGCGTATGTATGAGAGATAAAAGCGAAAATAAAGAGAATGACATGAGAGTTGATGGGCCATAATTTGATTACGATTTAATAAAGATTGAAAGATCTGATGGAAAATTTAATTGATATTTTCCAGTTGTTCATGCATTTATTATTCATGCAGTTATTTTTCCTTTCCCAATCTCCATCCTCTTCTTCTTCCTCTTTTTGTTGCTTCTTTTGACTTTTTATTTTTTTTTCTCTCTTTGGATTTGCCAACAAATCCCTGTCGAAATATTTGAATATCCCATTCAAAGTGGATGTGGTTCTTTTATGAAAGTGGGAGAGAGGGAGGAAAATGGGCAAAAAAGGAGGATAAGTACTGATATAAAGACTCATAAAGGCTGAGGGAAATCCTTCAGGAAAAAAATCAATAGATATTTTTAAGATGCCGAGTATCCATCGTTTCTTTTGTTCATTCTTTTCGTGAAAATGCATGTTTAAATTTGGCATTTTATTTTCTCGACTCGATTCGATGGATGTTTATTGAATGGAGTGACAATATATGTATATGTTATGTATAGCAGATTGGCAGAAATGACGAGCGGCGATATACAAGCAAACGGCAGAATGGTGCTCTGAATTACGAGGAATTTTTGTCACAAAGATATTCTGATGAGGATCGAAAAGCAACATAAAACACGACCACACACTTTCATCTACCAATACGGACGCCACAGCACAAACAACACGACAGTTGTAGTCGGCGTATGACTCAGAATTGTCGCTTCGATTCGTCGCCGTTGCTACAGTATGAAGAAAATCAAAAATGAATAGAATTTTTTTTTTATGATTTTCAGCAAATGGTTCATTTCATTTTTGTCTCTTTTCATCTTAAATTCATTTTTATTACGTTTTGTGTATATGTGTGGCTGTGATTCCTTCATCGCTTTTACTTTTCCTAGCCCTGCTTTGTCCACACTTTTATTTTGTGTGATTTGATTTCTTCATCAATTTTGGTTTTGATTTTTGCTTTGCCTTTGCATTTGATTTCATTTACTCTTTGGTATTGGCACAAAAAGTGTCCTCGTCTTTATAATTCGTTGGTGTGTGTGTTTTTCTTTCTTCTGCTGTGTGTTACTCTATCTCTCTCTCTCTCTCTCTCTCTCTCTCTCTCTCTCTCTCTCTCTCT